GCCAACTCATGTCAATATTCATCGAGATAAGTTCAATAGCCATTTATTGCAAACTGACAATTTTTCTTAAGTGAAAGGGTCTTGTGCTCAAAAGTCGTGTAGTAACGGTGGATTCTGTGATGGACATGAAGACACAAGGAAGTGTTTTTGCCGAGTGGGGTTCTCTGGTGATAGCTGTTCTACTGGTAAATACTTAGTACATGTACATAAATGGAATATTAATGTCACTTTCCCTCTGCTCTGAATTTTATAAAGAGAAAATTTAGAAAAGTAAAAATAGGACCATTGAGATTGTTCATTTAGTTACCTTATGGTCGATGAAATGATCCTGTTTACCCATTGGGTCGAATGTTGACTATTTTTTTAAAACAAATAATTAGCCAATTATGTGTACAGATTTTCCATTCACCCGATCAAGACAAGGAGCATACCGCTGGTATTACTAGTTGTCAGGGGATGCTCAATCCTCCTTGATACCTAATCCCATTTCTAAGGTTTTAAAGGTCCGTGTTTGCTCTGCACTTTACTCATAATGTTATATGACTTCTTCATTTGAGTATTGTTCCTTATCTTTATATGTTTCATTATAGAGCAATTTTTTGTTCTATGTTTTCCAGAGTTTGGTATCCCCCAAGAGATGCATACACAGAATATACAATATGTAAGTGTTTTTATAGATTTACTTTATTTTGAACTAGGCGAAAGACTAAAGGTCCATTGGGTTAACGCAAATAAAAAAAAGCCACTTATTAGTGCATAAAACTGATCAGCTAGGTGTAATTTTATTACACATATTTCTTTTTCTGCTTTATGACAGTTTATCGCATAACATAAGAATGCAAGTGCTTTTATTCTGTATTCGTCGTGTAGGGTAGGGTTCAATTGTTCGTGCTTTGCACAAAAACCATCAGTTTCTGGGGATATTATTGTGTGCATTAAGATTTCTGAAGTTATTAATATGGCATTCAACATTTCGTGGTGGACGTACATTTATGGCTCTCTTCATATTTCAAAAACAACACAAATAAAACCTTACGTAAAATCAAGGATTTTACAGCATTTTATTATCTTTAAGTATAACCTTTTGTATTTTTATACAGCCTCTGCTTGGAAATGTACTTCTACCAAAAAGAATGAATTGTCCTTTGAATGAGGAGTGTCAAATACAGCTTCTAATTACTGGAAAAACGGGGTAAAATTCTTGATTTTATGTTTTTTACAAAGCGTATTTGAATTTTTTCAGGGTTAGGGGTAAGGGTTAAAAAATCATATCACAAGAGTAATGTAATGATATCAATAATGTGATTTACATAATAATGACATTTGTGAAATAATACAACAGAAATATTTTTGCTTAAAACATATTAGAGAAAAACAATGGGTCACTCTTATACAATCCATAGTAAAGACACTTTTATATTACTTAAATGAATTCAATGTATGGTTTCAGATTTTACATTACTACTAGCACTGACTCTACAAGTGTAGCGGTCAAGGAAATAAAGGAAGCTCGTGTATCTAAGGATTTCCTCGCTACAATAACAGTTGTCAACAAGAAAACTGGCTCTCATCAGCTCTGTGTGGGCATTTCTCCTGATAGATACAGGTCAGGTCATTTTAAAAAGATAATTAAGTTACCCTTTTCCGACCGATTAACTAAAATGACGACACTCAAAACTTTTTTTACATTCCAGGACAAGATGTGTATTTTTAATTCATTCCTCTTATTCCGTTAAAAATTACGTTGAGGTTTCCGTAACGAAACACCTTCTAACGGACCCAATAATATTACGGGAGATGGCAAACAAACATTATTTTAAAGATGGCCTGGTTGCATATCATTTAAAACCTAATTACCTAAATAATGTCCAATAAAAGTGTTTTTTTTTTTAAACTGGAGGTTGGACTTTCTTTCATCTGTAATTTTCATATTTACAAGGTCGATGAGACAAAAGTGTCAAAATATGACCTATGTAACCAATGTTTTTTTTATTGCATTTCAAAAGAATATAAAATAATTAATTTAAAAGTGTATCAGTATCTTTTGATATAATAATTAAAGATTAAGTATTCTTTCCCCATCACATTGAAATTGTGGTGCAGAATACGTTTTGAAAATAAATTACTAAAATCTTTCACTTTGTAGAAAATTCCTATTTTATCTTTAAAAGAAAATACCATTCCAATTCCTTTCCATGGCTGGGTCATTATAATATTTTGTTATTAATTTAGGTTCAGATCACTTACTATTAATTGACAATTTCAATCAGCGATATATTTATCACGTGATTTGATATACTCAAATTATGTTAAGCGAGTTTTGATTCAAACTCTTTTTATTTAACAGTATCGAAACAGACAAAGTTTGTTGCAGTATCTCCACCCAGAACACAGGTATAATTCACAAAATCATGAGATAATTAAAAAGTTTCTCTTTACACTGAATTATATGCTTTTCCCCTCTCTTTCCCTGTATGAAAGAAGTTTCATCCCACGAAACATATACCAAATGATAATTTGGTGTGCCACATTATCATCCAAGGTCGCCAGTATTTATTTCTGATTAATCCTGTTACAACCAAAACTCTGATAATGCTCTTTTAAAAACGTGAAAAAAAGGGTTGAACCGACTGCTTAATTTTCTTTTTCTTTTATGCCGTTCTTGTATGCATTACAAACTTTGTATTGTCAAAATAACAAAAATAATATTTCCAATCATTGAAAAAGATACTTAATGAAATGTTTGATAATCTCGAGTTTTTTCTGGTATGTTTTATCATTCTAGATTATATTACCTGTGAGGACGTCTCCGTTGACGACTGCAGCGATCCAGCAGCGCTCAATAATATTTGCTCAGATCCAACCACGGCTACATTCTGTAGAAAATCCTGCAATCTCTGTCGTGAGTAGTAGGTTTCTATAGTAAGTGCACATTAATAGGAGGATTTTTGATAAATTATGTTTACTTTCGTTTCATATTTTAATAACTCATTTCAATTTTAGACAACATACCTACAACTTTGAAAAATACTGACAAGGTATGATAATTTTATCATATATAATATGATGACGCAAAATGTGATTCCTTTTGTTTTGTTTTAAAATGTTAATTACTAACATTTATAATATACAATTCGACCTTTTTATATTACCTTAAGCAATTATTCATTGGACCATCTCCAACAAATGTGTCACTTTTCACATGTTCTGCAGACATTGATTGCCACGTATTGCTTTATCTAAAACGAGGCCACAACAACTTATGGTAAGCATGGAGCAAGATAAGTGAAAATAATCATATCATTAAATGACCACATAACAAAATTCATAAATACAATGCAAGAACATAAGAAGCAGTCCTATTTCAGCTGGAAAAGTAGATGAGATACGAATGCTGACACTACACTCAAGTGAAAATATTTTAAGACAATTACCCAGTAGTAAACAACAATAAAATTTACCGTGGGCTCATTTGGTAGTCCTCATAATGGGCCTTCTTTTTAAACGAATACCTTATTGCATTTTTTTTTTACATCATACACATTTTCAACGGATGTTAATTAAAAGGTTAATAAAAAGGCAAATAAATAACTTTAATCCATACATAAACCCTTTCCAAAAAATCTCCCAGAAATTACGGAGATTTCTAAATTTCAAAGAAATAAGCAAATGATTAAAACATGTTATTGTTTCTTTAAGCAATTATTTAAAGGAGTTTAAGAAGCTCCAGTTAATTTTAATTTTAAGCTTCTTTTCCAAAAACTTGTTAAAATACTTTTCTCCTTTCTAACATTACGTCTCTTTCTTCTGGTTTACAGTCCTGAGGTTTCCGCCCGTCCAGTACCTGGAAGTACTGTGCACATTTTTAGAACTCCTGACTGTGATAACTGTTCCGTGGATGTTCTAATCCATACTTCTATCTCCCGCCCAACACAGAGGGCACAGCTTTGTGTCGAGGCATCGGACTACAACTCTGGGTAAAAACTGCAAAAAAAATATTTCTTAAGGAACGAATTTATATGGCAAAAAATCGATTTGTAAACAACTAGATGCATTTTTTTATTATTCTTAAAACATGTAAAATCTTATAGGCAATATTTTCCTTACAATAACACACTTTCGGTTTTAACGAAAAGGCAGATCTTTTAAAGTAACTAATATGTCTAGGATGTTTTAATCATCATTGCTATTCTAGTTTATTTATTATCGTTACTATAATATTTTGTCTTTGTTATTTCATTTTCATGACTGTTATGCCTTTATTATTCTTTATAACTGTTATTGGTATCATTCTGTAGACTGGACGACCTAAGATGTTACTTTGTGGATTACGAAATACATGGTAAGCAGTTATAAAAATTGTATTTTCACTGCATAATTTGAAAGAAATTAGATTATGGAACAGCTAAAGTAATGATTGAAGTACCTACATTCAATATGATAGGAATCTATTTGATTTTCTACAAAATGTTGTCAAGGGTTCATGGAAATAACGCTGTATTTTTAATGCTTTCATATTTTAAATGATTCCATTCACTTGGTTTCAGTCACGGTGCAAGTTTTTGAGATTTTAGTTATGCTGTTATGCAGCTCATTAAACGTGTGCGAAAGTTATAAAGCAAAACAAAAATCTATTACAAATTATCAAAACGATGTGATTTACAAAAAAAATCATATAATGACCTTCATATTCATTCATAAATCCTAAGAAGGAGGGATATTATAGGAGAAAATTGTAAGATTTTTGTTATGTTTTATTTATACATCCTAGAATATTTTCAATTATCAATTAACTATTTTCATTTATGTCTTCAATCGATTTATCAATGTTTATTTCAAGCATCAAGACGCCAGACCCTGAGTGTTACACACACTACCACATCAACATCTCGACGAACGCTTCAGGTTAACCTTGGAAACGTGATTGGATAATCTAAGTAGTAAAAATATAAACAGATTGTCAATGAAATTAATGATGACACTTTAAGGATTTGAACACTTGTCGTCTATAACAAGGAAAGATGTCATTAAAATGGATTTATAGCTTTTACATGTTTTTCTCATAAATAAATATAAGAATTTCTATTTAAAGATATGATTTATTTGTATGTATTGAAGTTACTGAGATTGACTACGGAATATTCCCTTTACCTAATCAATACAAAGAGCTCACAGGGTTAGGAATGGGGATGCTGACTTGTCCTAAGCACCTGATCCCTGTCGTCCGTGTTTTATGCCTTATTCACATTTTTTGTCTCGTTAATGAGTTCTTCACCTTGTCATGGAGATCGATTACTGTTCATTATATTCACCTTATTCATTAACAGTACGTACAATAAAATCCCATGTATATTAAATTATCCTATCTTTAAGGACGTTCGATCCTGTGCTTTTGAGTCGGTTTTGGTCTGGACCTTTATTTCGAAAATTCTGAATCGTTTTAAAATTTTAACGTTGAAATTTGATTCTACAATGCAAATTGAACTATATCCATTGCAAAAACCACAATTAAATTGTATTCAATTAGGATTACGCCAGGAACTTTATTTTGTGGCGGAAGGTTTTTTTTTTTTTTTTTTTTAGAATAAAATGATCAGTTTTCCCCTTTTGAATTATAACAGCACTGTTAATTTTAGATTCCTATTTTTCCATGCTGGTTGCACACAAAGTTGTTTTTTTTTTTGCAGTGAAATGTGTTATGCTTGTTCTGAAATATCTATCAAATTATTTCTTTTTCATTCTTTCGACGAATTATGACACTATCATAAATATATTGTGAAAGTCCGGGGAAAAATAGAGCCAATTTTAACAGAAAATTGACAAATTTTTCGTAATATCCAAAAATTTACAACATATACCCCCACTTTTGATGTTCTTTTCTGAATATTTAAGATAACTTTGAGCAATTTTAACTCAATAATAGATTTTGCAAAATTCTACAATCAACTGAAGTTTTTGGTATTTGTCGTGAGTTCTTTTGTAAGAAGGGTCCAAGGAGGTAGTCGGAAAATGCTCTTCAGAGCTAATGTTTTTTGTTGATGTAACCGACTTTAAATAAATATTATCTTATCTTATCTTTTAGGTTTCAATTGTTTTTATATTAACACTACCATAGTCTGTTTGCGTTTTAATATGTCTGATCATGCTCCAGACGAGAAAGAAAAAGATTCGTTGCTCTTATATTTCTGCATTACACTTTGTTCGCACATTATGACCTTTCTCCATTAAAAAGAAAATAAAATCATGTATTTCAGTAATACTGTATCGTTTGTTTGTTGTTTAAATACCTTTTCTAGTATCTAGCATCATATAATGACATCACTTGCTGTATCTAAGTGAAGTTCCACACATTTTGTCCGATGCATGGTGCTAATCGCCATAGCCATAAGGGATCTTTATTACACCGACACCTGCCATTGCAAGAGAACTTTAAAAAATTTACGATAAAACACATGGAGATAACGAACAGTATCTCAGATAAAAAAAAATTCATATAACGATACAAAATAGGAGCAGAGCAAACACGGACCTCTATGGTTGTACCATATTTCAGAAATCAAATTAATGGAGAATAAATTCTATTACTTTGAAAGAATTATACCTTCATCACCTGCATAGAGGATTTATATCTCTCAGCTGATTCGAAACACGAACATGCTCTACATATGAACAGTTTCTTAAACGAGAGGAGTTACTAGAAAAACGAGTTGATGAAACAAGAATATTTACATATCCAACAATGTCTTTGTCCAAGATGAAATTACAAAGACTAATCATACTATATTTTTACATAAATCTAGAGGTTCATCGATAGGCGTGGTGAAAAAAATTCAGTGCGGGTCGTGACAGATAGAGACAGAGGCGGTACTAGCTGCACGTGAATTTGCAGAATCAAGAGCATGTAACTGATCAATCGATTGGCTTGCGTCATAATTTTATACACTCGATTGATCACGTCATGAAAAAATTAAACAATAATTCCTTAAATATCAGCGGTCTTTTCTTCTTCCTCATTTCGCAAGTTTTAATTTGGTCGATACGATGATCTTGTCACCAAATACAATTTATCATTAATTCAAATGCTGACTGACGTTTTCATACTGTTATGGGTCAGAATAACCCTAAATGCCAGCAAAGATCAATAACACAATTTAAACTTAACAATAATTTATTTACAGTAATATATAATAAGTATATGAAACATAAAGTACAAACTTAGCAAGAATCTAAAAATACATACATCAGAGTGTCCGTTGCTGCACACAATGTCCCAGTGAAATTATATCCCAGTAATACCTCAATGATGCTTATACGACAATTCTCTCTCTGCATCGAATTGACAGGGTATTTATACAGTAATATAAATCTAGAATATTCTAGAAATTGTAAATACATGATATTACTGGAAAGTTCTGGACATGCACAAAGTTCAAGAATGTTCTAGAAAAATGACCGAACATGTTGACCACTCTGGAATGTTCAAGAAACTTAATGTTACTAATAATATACATGATGAAATAATACAAATACAACACACCTCACAACACCTCCCCCCTTAAAAAGTTTGAATGTCAATGAAAACTTATATTATTAAAACATAGGTACATTAATACAAAATCTAGTATGTTTACGATACTCTTGACAAGGCATCTGCTATAACGTCTTTGCCTTTGATATGTTTAATTGTTATGTTGTATTCTTGTAACAACAAACTCCATCTAGTCAGTCTTTGATTCTTGTTTGACAATTTATGCAAAAATGTCAGGGGGTTGTGATCCGTATATACAAGAATTGGATGCAAAGTAACATTCAGATAAACATCAAAATGCTGTAAGGCTAACAACAAAGCAAGGCATTCCTTTTCAATGGTGGAATACTTTTGTTGACATTTTGTAAGTTTCTTTGAAAAATAAGAAACAACTCTATCTACCTTATCACTATGTTCTTGAAACAAAGCTGCCCCGATTCCAACATCACTAGCGTCAACAGTAAGCTTAAATTGCTTAGAAAAATCTGGAGTTGACAGAACTGGGTTGCTCATAAGGACAGATTTGATTTTATGAAAGGATTTTTCACAGTCTTTTGTCCATTCAAAGTTAACCCTCTTCTGCAAAAGATTTGTAAGCGGACTAACTACTGAGGAAAAATTTGGACAAAATTTTCTGTAAAACCCAGCCATGCCCAAAAACCTCATTAACTCTTTCTTGTTTGTAGGAATCGGGAACTTTGCAATAGCTTCCACTTTAGCCATAATTGGTGTAACATAACCTTGACCTACTTTATGACCTAAATACTCTACATAAGCATGACAAAATTCGCTCTTCTCAAGGTTCACAGTTAAGTTTGCTTTAGCTAAAATGTCAAATAAAGCACGCATGATTCGGATATGTTCGTCCCATGTGTTGCTGTATATGATGACATCATCAATGTAGGCCTCGCAACCCTCGAGGTTTTGAAGAAGGGAGTGAATCATCCTTTGGAATGTAGCCGGTGCGTTTTTCATGCCAAAAGGCATTACTTTATACTGGTAAAGTCCATCTGGTGTAGCAAAAGCAGATATTTCTTTTGCTCTTTCTGTTAACGGTACTTGCCAGTAGCCTTTCAACAGGTCAAATTTACTGACAAATTTCGCGTTTCCAATGTTGTCAATACAGTCATCGATTCTAGGTATTGGATATGAATCGGTTTTGGTAACAGAATTCACCTTTCTAAAGTCTGTACATAATCGGTACGAACCGTCCTGTTTTGGTACAAGAATACACGGTGAGCTCCAATCACTTTTACTAGGTTCAACAATGTCATTGTCCAACATGTACTGCACTTCCCTTCTTAGGTACTGCAATTTTATTGGATTGAGACGGTACGGATGTTGTTTGATAGGCAGAGCGTCGCCAACTATAACATCATGACAAGCTGCATTAGTTTTCTTTGGAACATCCGAGAAGATTTGATGGGACTCATTCATCAAGTTTTTAACTTGTTCTTTTTGGTGAATGTTCAAATGTCCAAGTTTGGCATCAAAATCAGCCAAAATTTCTGAGTTTTTCAAGCGGACACTCTGATTACAATCTTTCTCATTCATCTCTACACTCGTATCACTCTCAATACAATTTTGAACAGTCTTAGCATTGGCTAAAGTGGAAACTGGTTTTACAGAATTTCGGTCACACCTTTCAAAATACTCTTTTAACATGTTAATGTGACAAACCCGTTTCTCTTTACGTCGACCTGGTGTCTTAACTACATAGTTTACATCACTGATCTTGCTTTCAATTTCATAGGGGCCATAAAATCTGGCCTGTAAAGGATGACCAGGAATAGGTAAAAATACAAGAACCTTATCACCTGGCTTAAACACCCTATTTCTGGGATCTTTGTCATACCACATTTTCATTTTCATCTGAGAACTCTTCAAATTTTCTTGTGCTAATTTACAAGCATTGTAAAGTTTTTCTTTGAAATCAGACACATAATCTAAAAGATTAAGATCACTAGTCTCAGTCAGCCACTTTTCCTTCAACAATTTCAAAGGACCTCTAACTGTATGACCGAACACCAATTCAAAAGGACTAAACCCAAGAGACTCCTGGACTGCCTCTCGTGCAGCAAATAGCACAAGATGAACCCCTTCGTCCCAGTCTTTCTCATACTTGTAACAATAGGTCTTCAGCATTGTTTTTAGGGTTTGATGAAAACGTTCTAGCGCTCCCTGGGACTCAGGATGATAAGCAGTTGATCGATACTGCCTAATACCCAACTCATGCATGACTTGCTGGAACAACCCCGACATAAAATTTGAGCCTTGATCCGACTGAATTGCCTTGGGTGCTCCTACAAAACTGAAAAACTTGGTTAGGGCCTTAACTATGCTCTTTGCCTTTATATTCCTAAGAGGTATGGCTTCAGGAAACCGAGTGGATGTACACATAATGGTAAGTAAATACTGGTTTCCAGATCTGGTCCTAGGCAAAGGTCCTACACAATCCACCAACACTCGACTAAACGGTTCTTCAAAAGCTGGAATTGGTTGGAGAGGGGCGGATGGTATCTTCTG